AAACTATCAAGCAGAAAATAGTCATGAATAAAGCATTAATGTTTAATTTTCTTTTTGCTTTATAGTCTGTAGAATCTTAAAAAAAAAAATATATATATATATATATATCTTTTCTTTTTGTAAAGGTCTTTTGCCATATGACATGTGCACTCACTAGAAAGAGACAGGGAGAGGGAAAGTGAGAAATCACCACCTGAAGGGATGGCCATGCTGTAATCTCTTCTCCATTCTCCTGGGATTTTGAGCACACACATGCACACACCCAGCATGATTTTCAATCTGCAAGGTGAGACTCAAACCACGATTAGCTGTGAGGGAGTCTAGCACCGTAACCACTATACCACCTGCTGCCCAAATATCTCTTGCTTTAACCTTAAAATTATTCTCACAATGGTAGAGCCCTAATTAGAGTCATGTTGTAAATGTATGTTGACTTGTTTGCAGATGTGGCAGCACCCAGGAGATACAAGTGTTCTCTTCCCATTCTTTCCTTATGTTTCTCCTCATCAACACCAGGTAAGGATCAAGAAGAGATTTCCCTTCAGTTACATTTCAAAAAACCCATCACATGTTTACCCTGTATTAAGTGCTTAAGTTTTATTTATTTGCAAGAGGATGCATACACCCGCCACCAGGGAGAGACTGGTGGTGGGGAGGAAGCACACTCCCAGTGGGGTGTGTTCTCACCACAGTTCCCTTTTCTCCATTTCTCCACCTTGTCAGAAGTTGGGGTAAGCACATATATACACACAACCTATTTTTTAAGCTGCCAGGGCTGGGATCCAACCATGATTGGCCAGATGGGAGTGGGCTCCCTTAATCACCAGGTTGTGAAGCCAGCCTTAAAATTTTAAATAATGAAAACTAAAGTACTGCACCAGCCCTCTACCATTTGTAATCCAATTCTGAAACCACATGGGAGTTTGTGGGAAATGAAATAAGAGTTTATTTTGCTAAAAAATAAAGTAAAATCCATCTTTTCATAATACATGTATTCCATAAACTTTTTAAAGCCCTCCTTGTCTAGAATCTATTAAACATGTGAATCCATGTGACTCCATTTTGTGCAGAATTAATTTGAAAATTATTTATTTAATTCCATTTGTTATTATTATTATTGTATTATTTGATCAGTCAGAGAGAGAGAGAGAGAAAGGGAAAGCAAGAAAGCAAGCCACCAGGTCCAGGACTTGAACTGTGGTCGGCCATGTGGGAATTTAGTACCTTTATTTATGCTGCCTCCTTCCGGTCCCCATGCAGAATTAATTTTTAAGAATAATATTCAATTAGATTAAATGATCAACATTACTACTTTTGAAAGATTTACATTCCCTCCATTTTCACTGGACTGTTCCTCATATTCAAATAGCAAATACAAAACTTCTATAAGTTTGTTCTTTTGTTCCCTCTTCTCTATCTTTAATATATTCATTAGGTCAATATTCCTCCTATTAAGCAAGAGGAGGAGGATAGTAAATGAGCATAGTAAAGAGAAAGAAGAAAAACAAATGACCACTTGTTAATAACTTTTGTACTATCACGCATTTAAAATTCTTTTTCCTCATTACTGACCTCAACTGCATCACTGGCATAAGCATAAAGAAAAGGCAGAAGAAACTTGTTTTTCAGTACAATACATGTGAACTGAATATGGAAAACCTTATATTTTATTATACTATTCATACTTCTAAAAGCAACATTTTTTTTGAGAGAGATTTTGCTATAGAGCACTTACACTCGCTGGAGAGAAAGACAGAAAGTGAGAAATCAGCCCCCAGGGGGATGGCGTGCAATCTTTTCTTCTTCATTCTCCTCTCAGGAATTTTTGGGGCATATAGGTACACACACTTGGTCTGAGTTTTAAGCCACTGGGTCTGAAACTCGAATTGTGGTTGGCCACATGGGAGTCTAGCTTCTCAACCACTACACCATCTGCTGGCCCCCTAAAAGCAACTTTTAAGTCATTTTTTCTGTGCTCTTAATTTATTACAAGAGGAACTTCTTATATTTAATGTTTCTGAAAGTAGAAGGCAGGTAAATCCAACTTGTATATTTGAATGTCACATGTTTTGACTACTACAACTTTTGCATTCTAAAATAATATTTACTACCAATAGTCTAAAATTGAAATGAATCTAAAGACTTTTTTTTTTCTCTTTAGGGTTTTATTTTATTTCCAGAACCAACTGTATGTTTAAGACCTTTGACTCCAACCCCAAAGGGGTATTTCACTTTCAAAAATTTTTTTGTTTTTCTGGAATGTCAAAGATCGTCATGGTTTTCTAGTTACTTTTCCAAGTTATACTGCTGTTCTATCTCATTATTATATATTTTCCCAACAAGTGTGCTTGCTGATTTTTCTCTGAAGAATCTTGTTGCAGTCTTCTAGAACTTTTGCCTCTTCCCAGAGAGCTTTTTCCTCCTCTTGAAGAGCGTTGTTCTCTTCTTTAAGAGCCTTGTTCTCCTCACGGAGGGCCTGTTCTTCCTTCCACAGAGCCTGTTCTTCCATCTCTAGTGCTATTCCCTCCTTCATCAAGGCCTGTAGTTCCATTTTGATTGCTTTCTTCTGATGTCGTAGAGCCTTGATCTCCTCATGGAGAAATCTTATCTCTTCCTGAACAGCTTTCTCCTCATTCTGGAAAGCTTTGTCCAGCTTTCTAAGTACCTTGATCTGAGCTTCCAGGGCTTGATTCTGTTGCCAAAAAGACTTACTTTCTGTGTTTGAGGCACTGATTTTTTCTCCAGATGGATTTTGGCTGTCAAAAATCACACTTTTAAACTTCCAGAGGTGATGGTTTTGCTGTCTCAGGAACCGATTCCTTTCCTGGATTAACTGGTTGTCCATCCTGAAGATGATATTTTCCTGTCGAAGAGCTTTATTTTCTCCCCAGAGGCACTTATTTTCTTTTCTGAGTTTCTTGTTCTTATCTCTGGATGTCATATTATCTCTATGAATATTTTTTTCTGCCTCATGAAATTTGTGTTTTAGCTTATTTTGATCATGAATACAAGAAAAAAAGAAGGAAAACAAATTCAATATGTTTCCTTTATTTATCCACTTTAATTCAGAGACAACCATTTTTTCAATTTGTTTCAGTGTTTTAATTGAGGGAAAAAATATATACATATGTTGCAGATATTCTAGGTCCAGTCAGACATGAATTAATGATCCTTACATTAGGAAAAACCCTAACTTTTTTGAGAATTTGTTCATGTAGAGTTGGCTGTTGCATTGACTTGCACAAGGATTAATATGGTAAGAGATCTTAACAAGGCTCAGTCATGCTCACTGGAGAAGAAGAAAATGAAAACATGAGTAGAAGTCTGTAAATTAACTATTAGGTTATCATCATCTGAACTGAACTTTAATTTCAACATAAATTAAAAATAACTTTATTCAATTTATGTATTAAATTAATCAAGGACAGTGCACTGGGTTATTATTTGCATGTCTGACCTCGGCTGTTTTTAATAAACTGTTTTTTTCTGCTGATTACTTTTTTATAAATATTTCACCTCTTATTGCTATGAGAATATGCTATGTATTTAAAAAAAACATTTCTAGCTATTTAAAAATATTCTTTGTAATAACTAAAAAACATTATTAAAAGAGTTTATATACGTAATGTTTATAATATTTACTTAGATTGTTAGTAGAGTTATCACAGAGAGTCACACCTACCTTTCTATGATCTTTGAAATCCCTACCAACTTGATTCTTACTAGTCCCACAAAACAGCTAGGCAACATTTATGTCATCTATAGTGATGTCACTTAACGTTGACACTAGTAATGTAACAGTTGCTATGTGAAGTGTTTGGCTATTTTTTCAGCATGTGTTAAAGAAAAAGTAAGCGTAATTTAATGGACAAGACTATTCTGGCTGTTTTCACTTATTACTAAATGACTATATAGTCAGCCCTTAATTTCATATACATTTTTTGGACTTTATTATTTAAGGAGAGAGATAGAGACAACCACACACAGGTTCTCCTGACAGTCTTACCGTGTTACATGTCTTACCATGTCTTACCATTAACTATCCTGTCCTAGTCAGCCAAGAACAGGAATATGCCTTTATTTATGTCAGCCTGACATCTGAACCCAGGACTTTTCTCATGTCTCCAGTATTGTGCAGTAGCACCCTACTTCCTCGACTAGTACTGCATGTGCTACTGAGGTTGGACATCCCTCTAAATTGAATATTACTTATTATTCTTTTAAATTTTGCTGTATGGAAAATGTTTTTCTGGAGAGACAGAAAAAGTGAGAAACCACTCCCCAGGGAAGATGGTCATGCTAAAATCCCTTCTCTTCTTTTCTCCTCTCAAGATTTTGGGCATATACACCACATGTGCCTGGGTGTTTTTCAGGTCATTGGATTTGAGATTTGAATCGTATAGTCAGACATGTGAGATCTGGCTGTCTTAACCACCAAGATATTGACTGTCCTTCATCTAAATTATTAACATTGCTTTAAAACCTTGATTTGTTTTTAAATACTTTTTTTCTTGATAGAAGGAATGTGTAACCGTGTAAGACTGAAAGAGAGAGAAGAGCACCTTCCATCGGGTGTGGTCTTTCTGTGGCCCCCTTCCTCCAGATCTCCAGTCCATCAGAACTCAGGCACTCATTTGTGTGCCTGGTGGGATTAGGCTGACAGGATCAGAGATTCAGAGCACTGAGACCTGTTTCCTCTGGAGCAGCATATTACCACTGTACCGCACACACAGACACAGAGCTGGCTCAACAGTAACTTACTGCCATTAGCAAAATTGTTGCTTAATACTGCATGTAAGGAACTGACAGATTCCTTAAGCAATCTACAAAGGTTAAAATCTTTTAAATAATTTTAATATCACTGCTACATCAGTACTATGTCAATTACTATGTTATGCTATGGAAGCGGCACTGGTGAATTTTAATTCTGGTAAACTTATGTAAGATGAAATTTATATTATTCAATATATGTTCACTGATGGAACAGTAACAACACAGTATGAACACATGCAATGTTTCAATAAATTTAATAGTCTGGTGAAATATGACAATATTTAAATATTGGGACTTGCATGAGCTCACAGTGTTTTAAATGTTATTATTAATTTATAATTGGCTTAAGGTATGAACTTGAAAACTAATTATATAATAGCATAAATAAGTAGAAATCATTCAGAACTGAATATAGACTTGCCAGTTTACTCATCTTACCATATTTATCAGCAGCTGTTTATATTACATCTGCTTGAAAGGCTAAAATAGCATTTTTATACCTCATGTGTTCATACACTGCCTGTTTAACTTAGATATCATAATGGCATGGCATGAGAATGCAATATTAAGAAGATCCCAATGAAAGTTTTCATTTTCCATATTTTTAACTTGATGGGAGTGAGATATTCAACTGATAATCTTCATCAATAACTTAATTAAAGTGTTTAATATGAATAAATATCAGATTCTTTTTTTAGAGAGGAGAATTTTGCTATAGAGTATACATGCTCCAGAGAAACAGCAAGAAAGAAAGTGAGAAATCACTCTCCAGGGAGTTGGCCACTCTGTAATCCCTTCTCGTTTATTCCTCTCTCAAAATTTTGGGCAAGCACACACACATGCCTGGCTTGAGTTTCAAGTCACTGTGTCAGAGACTCAAACCATGGTCAGTCATGTGGGAATCCAGTGACAAAACCATTGCACCACCTGCCAGTCCTGGCATCAGATTCTTCATGCTAGTGTTGCTGATTTTGTGCTTCTATCATGGTACCTAAGGATTCAGGCATAATTCTAAAAAGCAAAGAACTCATGCCTTTCTGTGTTGGAATGTAATTTCTGAGCTTTAAGATCTGGAAAACTAAAAAAAAAAAAAAAAAAAAAAAAAAGTATTCATTGCCCTGAATCTATGGTACAAATTGAATTCATAATTAAATATATTTCCAGGAGATAGTATAATAGTTACAACACTGGACTCCCACGTAGTCTACCGTGATTCGTGTCATAGACCCAGTGGCTTAAAGCTCACACCAGATGCGTATGTGTGCATGCCCCAGTCTCAAAATGAGAATGGAGGAGAAGAGATTGCAGAGTGGCCATATCCCTTGAGGGGTGATTTCTCACTTTCTGTCTCTGTCATTGTCTGTTTCTCTGGAGAATACACACATCCTATAGCTAAAATCACTCTCTTAAAAAAAGAAAAAGAAATTCCCACAATAAAATACAAACTCAGATGGTTTCATCAGTGCATTCTTCCAAATATCTTTCTTGGTTTTATTTTTTAATTATTTTCTTATTAACATTATTTTTAATTGAAAAATTCCAGTTATATACATTTATGGAGTATACTGTGAAATTTCGATACATGTTTACAATACTGAATGATTAAATCCAACTAATTAATATATCAAAATACTTAAAAAGAAATAATGCTAATAATTCCATAAATTTATTCAAATGTTAGAAAAGGAAAGACCAACTTGTTGTTTTTAATTTATTACCCTTACATAAAAAGCTGACAAGGACATTACAAGAACATAAAACTATAGCCTACAGTAGTTCATGGACACAGACACAAAAATTCTAAAAAAGATAGTAACACACCAAGTTTAGTGATGTATAAATAAATAATATATATCACCAATCTGGGATTAACTCCTCAATGCAAGCTTAGTTAACACTAAGAAATCAATTAATGTAATTCACCACATTATCAGAACAAAGGAGAAAACTTTTATCTCATGCCGGGATGAGAGAAGTCATTTCAGTAGATTCAGAAAAAGCATTTGATGAAATAAAAACCAGCAGGCTTTCATGCTTAAAAACCAAGACAAAATCATCAATAATACTCACTTCCTCTTAACTCTCCAGGAATAGAGGAACTTTATGTTTGTTAAGTACACACACAAAAAAAAAAAGAAAGAAAGAAAGAAAAGAAAAGAAAAACTACTGTACTGACGTATCAAATGATAAACTTTTGGAGATCAGGGACACATAAGAATGTTTAGTTTATTCATAATCGTGTTGATGTACCTTTCTGCTGCAATTAGACAACATAAAAAATATTAACTCTAAGGATGGGAGGAAATAATAAAGTTCTAACTATTTGCAAATAATCTTGTAAACTTTATTTATTTATTTATTGTCTTAAGATGTGTCCAATTGCTGAAGATACAGCGAGAGAAATAGAGAGAGGGAAAATGAGAAAGAAATCCCCGGGGGATGGTCACACCACAATCCCTTGTTCTTTGATCTCCTTCTTCAAATTTTGGGCATGCATGCACACCCTCCTAGCCTGATTTTCAAGCCATAAGGCTCAGAACTTGAATTGTAGTTGGCCAGTACCTTAACCACCACACCAGGTGCTGACCTCATATTGCAAACATTTGAAATAAAAGAATTCTACAGTAGGGGCTAACAGATGACATAGCAGTTACATTGTTGGTCTCACACATGACTGACCATAGTTTGAGATCTGAAACCAGTGTCTTCACGTGTGCATGCGTGCTCAAGATCCTGGGAGAATGGAGAAGGGATGGTGGTGTGGCCTTCCCCCTTGGGAGATAATTTCTCACTTTCCCTCTCACTTAATGTCTTTGTCTCTCTCTCTCTCTCTCTGTTTCTCTGTCTCTGTCTCTCTTTCTGGCAAGCTCACACACCCAAGGCAAAAACCTCTAAAAAAAAAAATCTACAGTTAAACTATTAAAACAAAATGTAATTTAGCAGGCTTATTGGATGACAGATCAATTTCAAAATAATATTTATTGTGACCAGCAGATGACGTAATGGTTACATAGCTGGACTACCATACGGCTGACAGTTCCGAACCAGTGACTTGACACTCATGCATGTGTGCAAGGGTACCCAAAATCCCAGAGGAGAATGAAGGAGAAGGGATTGCAACATAGCCATCCTCCTGGGAGGTGATTTCCAGCTTTCTATCTCTCTATCTCTGTCTGCCAGCAAGCACATGGGCCTTATAGCAAAATTCTCTTTTAAAAAATAAAAGGCTTATTTATATATATTCAAATAAACAATTGAAAATCAAACTTATAAGTATTACTTTAATTAACAGCGCAAGCAAATACCTAGAAATAAATCTATGAAAAACATCTCTTTAACAAACACTATTGAAAGCAATTACAAAGATATAAACACAGCAAGATTAGACCATGTTTATGATTAGAAGATTCAATACTGGGAAGATATTAAGTCTTCTTCAATTGATATATATTTTCAACAGATTCCTATGAAAAATAACCTCAGTAGTTTGTATGGGTCTCTGTGAGTATATATGTCAGGACCAATGGACCAGGTGATTACAAAATTTCTATTGAAAGACAAATGGTCAGAAGAAGCCATGACAATGTCGAAGAAGGTCAGTTTTCAGAACAAGCTCTAGTAACCAAACTGTGCAAGGTTAAGTCAAGAATAGAGAAGTGCAGCAATTGAAGATGACTCTGTAGCCCAGTGGTAAGGAAATTTGATGTCATGTGACTGACTACAGTTCTTACCAGGTCCAGCAGCTCGAAAAGCATGCCAGGTACATGTGCGTGCATGCCTAAAATCCAAACAGGATGGACAAATAGAGGACAATTGATTGTGGTGTGACCATGGCCCATTGGGGATATTTTCTCCCCCTCTCTCTTTTCTCTCTTTGTTTGTTTGTCTCTTTTTACAAAGTGCATCTGCCTTCCAGGAATTAAAAAAAAGAAAAGTTAAACAATTGATCAAAGCAGAAAGCTCAGA